TATACTTGAAGCAAGAGGAGAGTATTTTGAGGGGGACTTGAGGTACTGTGGGGTTTTTTGGTATGAATTTAGAACAGAGTGTACAAGGTATGCAGAGTCTCACTATGTAGATCAGACTCGGAGTGATTCTCCTGTTTTCAGCCTCCCAAGCACTGGGACTGCAGGCACATGCCACCACATCCAGTCTCAATCACCATCTCAGTGTGCCCCGGGGGGTGGGCCCGGCATCGAGTGCTGAGGATCCAATTTGGGTCCCTGCATACTGCCTAAGCAGATGTTTTAATCCACTGAGCTATCTGGCTGGCCCCTCATGCATATCTTGATTATGTATATATTTATTTGTTTTGTTTTCTGCATTTTAATTTTTTAAATCTTAATTTATTTGGTATGGGGTCTCACTACACAGCTTGGACTCATAGTGATCCTCTGTTTCTGCCTTCCCAGCATTGGGAGAACAGGCATGCACCACCACACCTGGTTTTGGTGGTAGGCATGGCAATCCCAGAGCTCTGGGGCCCACATTGCATGCAGTGCCAGGGATTGAACCGAGGTCTCTGTACTTGCCAAGCAGGCACTTAGACTGCCAAGCTATCTCCCCAGTCCTCCCCTCCTACTTCTGTCTCTTATATGCCCATTAAAGTATTTTTAAAGTATGCACTACTTTAAAAATTGTATGTACCTACTAGAGTTTCTCCAAATATATGTGTACATACATGTCTGCTCTCCTACTCTAACCTACATAGAAGGTAAAATACTTTAGTCATCGTTCAACATTTTATTTATTAATTTATTTTTATCATTTGGCTGTATTCTAGGAGATTTTGTCATTACCACAAAGGGGAACCTCTTGATGTTGTTTTTCATGGTATTTCTTTGAAGGGATATAGTACAATTTACTGGACATTTAGCTTGTTTCCAAGTCTTACCAATTACAAATAATATTGCTGTGAATAAGTATATAAGACTATCCATAGGATAAACTTCCAGAGGCAAAGTTGCTGAATCGAAGAGTATATGCTTTCATAATTTTGATAAATAATGCCAGTTGTCTGCTATGGGAATTGTTTCAATTTATGCATCATAGCAACTTAAGAAAACCCTTAATTCTCTACAGCCTGACCACAAGATAGTATTTGAATTTTTGTCAATTTGAGAAATATAAATTTTAGTACAATTTTAATTTGCATTTGTTTTATGGGGCTGCTTATATTTTCATGGTAAATAGCCCTTTATTTTCTTTCTGTCTTTTTGAACTTGAATTTACATTTTTCTATTCATTTGTAGGTATTTTTCTGATGAATTTTCTAGGGTCTTGTGCATATGAAGAAGCTTAGCTTTTTGTGGTATAAGCTGCAAATAGTTTTTCAATGCTAACATTAAAGATAAAGAAGTGATGCAGTAAAGTTGTATTTTAGAAAGCTCACTCTGGACGCAAGTAGAGGGAGTTAGGGAAACGATAGCCAAGGTTACTAAAGGCTATGGCATTAGCTTTATTGTCACATGACAAAGACTATCACTAGGCTGGTGGCAGTGGGACTGGAAGTAAGGGACCAAAATTATTATAAAAATAATAATTACAATAACAATAGCTATAATTTACTTAGGAGTAATTATACGTTAATTGATTTACAAGCTTTAAGCCATGAATTGCTATAGTTCATACATGAAGAAAGTGAGTTTTACCAATGAAATAACTTGCTCACACTTCCATGAGAGGTAAGTAGCTGAATCAAAGATAATGCCAGGTTTGTTTGACCCCAGCTGCCTGGCAGGCTAATGAAGAATGATCAAAGGTCTTCAATCTAAGAGTCTGAGTAATGCCTGGCTGGGTGACAGATGTAGAAGCCAGAGAACAGCTGCCTCTGGCTGGAGAGTGACACTCACAGTTTTAAGAACACTGAGCATTTTTTTCCAGGTTCATTCTTATATATGATCACTTTTCTCACAACGTTCCATTGAGTCAAAGGATAGTATTCAATAAATAGATAGTATTAAATAAACAATCCCAGTTAAGATCTCTTCTCTAAGAAGAGTTTTCTGACACTCAGTCTAGGTCAGCTTCCATGGTTATATGTACCTACACCACCCCTTTTTCCGTGGAATTTGTTGCTGTGGGTAATTACACATTTACTTCTGTTAAATGCTATTTAATAGCTGTTGAACTATGGACACTGAGATCTTTATTTTGTCCTTAGTGAGGGGTCTGGCACAGAATTAGTACTCAGTACTTACTAATTAAGTAAAAGGACTCCAGACCACTATACCCATTAGCCTTTTATCTTTATACTATATCATAAAGCTCCCTAGTGGTTAAATAAATATGACATGGATGTTGGTTGTACCATAAATAATTTCAGGACTCAAATTTCCTCAAATCTACAACCAACTTTCACTTTTTTGTTTTTTTTCATATCAGACGACTAAAAGTGTGGCAACCAGGTTTGAGGGAGGCACATTTCACACAGTGCTGTGAACACTCAATCATCACACTGACGGATCAGAAAAGAGTTGACTCTTCAATTTCTGAATGGCAAAACCCTAGACTGCATCAACCAATGAGACATACAAAATGACAACAAATAAATGGCCTCCAGGCTGTACAAGAGGCTTTACAAGGGCTTAGGGACATCCAACCTAGAGTTGATCCTTTCATTTTTCAAAAGAATTTGTTGAGTACCATCCCATGCCATTATGAGTAGGCAGGCAGTTGAGAAGACACTGGGAAAAATATACCTTAAGGAAAAATAATCTCCAAAGTTCTAGCTTTGCCAAGTCCTATTAGTAACAAGTAAGACACAGTAGATACTTAAGCTGCCTCTGATGAAGGCCAAACAAAAATGTGAACTTGATTAACTGCAAAGGAACTGAAAAATTCCCTGGAGTTAACATATAATAAACCAGTGACACAAGGCACTGGCAATATTGATCTAAATCATAGCATCAAATTTTGCAGTACTTTCAGAAGTACTTTACCTTCTAGGTTCCTGACCCCTGAAGGCTAGCCATGGGCTGGCTTGGTGTCCTGGGAATCCCCAGTCTCCTAGGTCAACTGTACTGCCTTTTAAAAGGCCAGCATGATAGCTGTCTACTTACTGTCATATTGACTAGAGAATTTATTGTATGTGGGTTATGGGCTAATGATTCTCAATAAATACTGAATGAATGAATAGTGACAGAGCCAGAGATGTACTTTATAATTCAGGCTCATTCTCTTCTGTAGGAGGTCCACATCAACTTGACTCTTCCTATTGCGAGTGGACATTTCAGGACTTATCCTTACACAACCTTGGCCTCCTGTTCCCCAATTACTATCTTAATCTTAAGCCAGCTGTCAATAAGTGTTTCTTAATTAATTCAATAACTGGAAGGAAAATACACCACAATGCCTCTAGTTAATTATGGAATTCTAGGTGATTTTAATTTTCTTACTTATACGGATCTCCTCTCTAAAATTTTTCTTATAGGAAGCATATGTTATCTTTTTATGTAAAAGTTAAAATAATACTTAAAAGAACAAATTATTGAACCTATGCCAGAGAGAAAACACTGTTAACCCTGGGAGCTATGAAGATAAAAACAGCACCAGGACCTTCCAATCTAGAAAGAGCAGAGATCAAAAATGAGTAGGAGCTTTGTGGCAGAGATCCTTGTGCTGTCAGGACACAGAAAAGGGAGAGATTAATGCCCAGAGGGGCAGACTAGTAATGCTGATGCAAATAAGGGAGAGGGAGGAGACTTGATGAAAACAAAGCAAAACAAAAAATATTATGTGGAGGACCACCCGGGAAACTCTCCTTGAAAGAACAATCATCTCCAGCTTGGCTGAGCCTGACCTTATTTCCTTGTATTGGTACCTACAGAGCTGGCTAGGACTTTTCCTTATCACTTCAAATGGCTTTAAGTAATGCATATAGGTCTAGCAGAGGTCCTGTTGATAGTTTTTGAAGAGGGCAGGTGTGTTTCCCTGGAAACCCCCACCTGCTGCTCTTTAATATGAGCCAGGTTGAGATGGGAGGAAGAGCCAATGCTTAACTTCCTGGGGTTTGAAAGATTACACAACAGAGTTTAAGTACCAGACCCTAAAACATTAGATATTATCTCAATTGTACAATGCAAATTACTCTTTCTTCACATTCTTCTCTCTGCATATTGCAAAGGTAAATGCAGGCCTCCTACCTAGCCCAGCTCATGGCACTCAGGTACTTCTTGTCACATTTAATCACTCATCCTCAAGGAACTCCCCTTTTTACAAATGATAAATGCTGGGTTCAGTCTTGAGTAAGGGCCTTTGTTTTTGATAGTCATCACCATAGCTGGACTTAGGACCCCTTGGCTTCCCATAACAATGTGCTTTAGTGTCTTTATTCTTGCCATGGGAAGTGGTAGATTGGAATTAACTCGATGGGATTCTAATAATTTCTCTTTGGGATTACAGGTTTAAACCTCTCAGACCAAGATGAGGACCAGAAGGGCTCTCTACAATATCATTAGAGAGAGGGAGAGAGAGAGGGAGAGAGAGAGAGAGAGAGAGAGAGAGAGAGAGAGAGAGAGAGAGTAAGGAAATGTATGTAAACCTAGTGGCAATGCCCATTGGACTGTCACCTTGGCCTGTGACAGAAAAGGGCTCAGTTTAGGTGCTGCATGCATGAGGTGGATGGTAGGGAGATGAGCTGCACTGCTCTAGTGCAAAAGGAAGGTGGGTGTTGGAGGAATCGCATTGTAATACAATCCTGGAGGCCAAAGCTGGCTTTCCAGGTGTTCACACACCTGTATATGCTAAGGTATATATTTTAAGATATTTATGGCAGCATCATTTGCAGTTAGATGGATAATTCAATTACAACCCAGCCATGCTGTAGTATACACTGCACAACTGATAAAGAGCAAGGTAATTCTAGAAGCCATGTGTGGTGGTACATGTCTGTAATTCCAGCACTCTAGGAGGCTGAGGCAATAAGATCACAAGTTTAAGCCCCACCTCGGCAACTTAACAATTTAGCAAAGCCCTGTATTCTGAAAATAAATAAATAAATAAATAAATAAAAGAATGCAGTTCACAGGCTAGCCAGATAACTCAGCAGACTAAAGCACCTGCTTAGGCAGAACAAGGTGGCTGGTGTTTGATCCCTGCTGTGGCCTGCTAGGCCCACCCCCAGGGAGCTTTGAGACAGTGATTGAGACTGGGTGTGGTGGTGCGCACCTGTAATCCCAGTACTTGGGAGACTGAAAACAGGGGGATCACTACAAGTCGGATCTACATAGTGAGACCCTGTAGACCCTGTACCACATACAAAAAAAAAAAAAGAAACAAAAAAAGAAAAAAGAATAGAAAAGAGAGAGTGCAGTCCACAACACCACAAAGAAAAGAAAAAGAATGAGGTGATTCTAACTGGATACTTAAGATGACTTTTAAATATTAAGTGGGAAAAAAAGGTCACCTTTTCAAGCAAGGTGCAATGATTTATTCTTATAGTCCCACATTCTCAAGAGGCTGAGGCAGGAGGATGGCCTCAGCCCAGGAATTGTAGGCCAACCTGGACAACATAGCAAAAGTCCTGATTCATTTACAATGTTGTCATTTTAATGTAAAAGTAACACAACTCTATGCATTTGTGAGCAAATATGTGCAAAACATCTGGAAATTTTTTCTCCCATCAGATTATCTAAGAAGTGAAGTTGATGGCTGAGCCAAAGGAGGCCTCCCTATTTCCCTCAAGCTGTCTCATCTGCTTGAATTTTTCTAGTGGACATGAATTGCTTTATGCATTTTGTTAGCACATGTTAATTTTACATGATTGTGGCTTTTTTAAAACTAAACATCAGGCATTACTTTTATTTATGGTAAGAAAAAATTCAAAAGTTAGAATTATGAAAATTATACATAGTTTTACACAAATTGTTAAGGAAATACTGTCAACTTCATTTTGTCTGAGAATCATTTGCATACTGCTATAATGTGTGCTAGAAATCAAAGGAACATTCTTTTGTGACAAAAAGATGAAGATAATTGTTCACTTGAAAAAAATCTATTAGGGTATTATTCAGTGAGAGAATAACCATCAACAAAATATATCTACTTAATATATTTCACCACAATCATCCCAACCCCATTATGATCAGATGAAAATGACTTATCACTCAGAACACACAGCAGAGTTTTCTTAGAAAAGATACACATCAAAAAAAGGAAGATGAAAAAATGACAGCTCTATTCCCTCAAGAAACCAAGACTAACTTTGAACAGAAAGATCATTACCAAAAGCTGATAACCAATAGAAGGCGTTAACAGTTGTAATATAAAGAATTTTTTAAAATTCAACTGCATAAAAAATGTAATGCCCCTATATTGAACTAGGTAAGACCATACCATTAAGTCAATGTTATGGGTTTTCAGAACTACCTTAGTAATCAAGATGAAAATACAAGGTTAATTCAAAATCAGTTCCCTAATTCACCACAAACCTAAGTCTTTGCAAATTTATTTACCTTTCTTTCTGGGAGGCACTTGCTCACACTCTACAAGGCAAATGGCTACTGACAGTAGTTACTAAAGAAATGAGGAGTGAGTCTCAACTTTTACTACTCCAAATGATGAATCTTATTGGATAAGAACAACTAATGAATCAATAAACTAACAAATGGAATGTTTGATCATTAAGAAAAGTTATCTAAAGACCTTGAGATTTATCTTTCAAAGAATATTATTTGCCAGTCCCAAGGTCATTTAGTGATGTAAAGGGCCAGAAAGATGAGACACTCTCCCCAGGTATATTCTCTTTCCCCTTTAATGACAAGAATTCTATAGCAAGTATTTTGCTAATTAACATGCTCACAGTTTCTTAAAATGCAAAAAGCCTCAGAAAGATGGGATGTAAAGCTTTAGTTTTGATGGATTTTAAATCTTGTGACTAGGTTTTGGGATGAGGCTATAAAAAGTCCTAAAGATAAAGATATTAAAAGATGAAAAGTAGAGATGGAACAAACTGCTACTTTCCAACTTCCTGTAGGGATGGTGGCCTTTGTTTTGGGATGCTAGCATATGCATTTAACATATTCTAATCAATTTCACCCCACTTTCTTCCTTTCCTCCCCAACCAATTGTTTTTATAACTAAAAATATTTCATGCAAAGCTTCCTTTGTACCAGATACTGTCCTCACGTATGTTAACTCATTTGATTCTGACAATGTCCGATGAGGTGACACTACTCCTACTCCCTCCTCCAGATGAGGGCAAAGTACCTGCCCAGGTGCACAGCAACACCTGCTGCAGCTGAGCTTTGAACCTCACCCCTAAGGCTCAGACTCTGTGCTTTCCAGCATGAGGTTTTACTGCCTTGAAAAGTTAAATAAACAAATAGCACTGTTTTGAGAACTGGACACATCTACATTTAAATCCTGGTTTTTGCTGATTACCTAGGCAATGCTTAAAAAGTATCTTCTAGGTCAGTTTCTTATCTATAAAGTGAGACAAATAGTCAGATATTTTATGAAGCTAAATGTCAGAGAAT